GTCCTTATTGCACACTGCACTGCAGGTTGTACAGGAAGTTTTCTTCATCAATGTAACAGTTTACTTTATCATGTTATAAGTAGTCTCCTAAGTTGAAGTTACAACTTTAAAGTGAAGTTACCTTCAGCTCTTTTTGCAGCTTTATTAATTCTGTATGGTTTTCATTCACATTTGCCTCTTCCCTTTCCCTGTCCTTTTGCTGCCGGTCACTATTGCTCTGGTTCTGCAGTTCTCTGCATCTATGCTTCCACGTCTCCAGTTCTACTCAATACACAGAAAGAGGTTAGACACCTTATGGTTTCAAATGTGTATTTGAAACACCACATTAATGACTTTTTACTAAAGCCACTTAGGTTTTGCCTGCTGTAGAACAGAGAAATAACAGAAGCTTTTAACAAGTAGAAATTTGTTGTTTACTATGGAACATTAATGCCCAAACCAAGTGAAAATGGAAGTGGCTATCACAATACATCTAAAGCACTTATGCATCACTGCTCCTTTTCCACTGAAAGATTACCTGAAGCTAATCTTTCATTCTCTTCTAACTGAGCTTCAAGCGCTTGATCTTGTTCAAGCTGAGTCTCTTCTTGTTCTTCTAATGTCATCTTCATAGCTTCAATTATTTTTTCTTTTGCACACAGATCTGGAGGTTTGAAAATTTACAGATGAACTCCCTATTAGTTCCCGTTATCCTTTCCTGAGGAGTTTTCAAGTCGAGGTTCCCCCATGACCAAAAGCTCTCTTGAAAGAAATAGAGCATCTCTATTGAAATATTCACATACAGATACATACAGAGTTCTTAAGTGACTCTTACCAACTTGTTTTAGGTGAGAATTCTAGTGCTGGGGACAATCAGAATATGGAGTTTATTACATGAGAAAATGACTGTAGTTCAACTGCTCTAAGATCATCCTACAGCCTACAGAATCTGTTATTGCAGAACTTGACATTTCAGAGTTTGAGTTTACTTCAGAAGGTCAACTAAAACAGCACATGAGCAGCAGACTTTTTAAAAAGCACTGCAAATCTGCACTTTCTTGGAGACTTCTCCCAAATCTGCTGCTTTACTTTCAAGTTTACTTGATAATAGTCATACAGTAACATTTAAAGCAGTGCGTAACTATTAAACATCTAGTTTGGAGTTTCTCAAATCGTGTTTTAAAATATAAAAGTGTAAGACTCGCCAAAGTCATTAGCGATGTGACAACATTGACATGCATACTACACAGAGATAGAGAGAGAGAGAGAGAGGGAGAGAGAGGAAAAATAATGGCTGACCTTCACGTATTTTCTCATATTGTCTGGTGACTTCTTCCAACTCCTTGTTATTCAACAGCTCCTATATTTCACATTGAGAGAAAAGCATACACAGTAGAAACAAGCAAATTTTTAAGACAGCCTACAATCAGTCATTTTTTCATAAAGTACAAATAAGCATTCAAGCTGATAAGAAGGGTTTGAGGCAAGACATTTCAACTGACATACAGAGATGTCACTCATCAGAATCAGGTTATATGCAGCTATTAAACATGTATTTACTATGCAGCTTATTGTATTTAAAGCAATCTGCCAG